GTGCCGCAGGTTCCTTCGTATCGCGGAAGGAGGCACCCTTTTTGAAGATAAACTTTTTTCGGGAAGCTGCGGCACTGTAGAGAACCGGACCATTTCTGTCGTTTCCAAAGAGAATTCGTAGGCTACTATGCGTGCAATGGCGTACATCACAGCAAAGTCTTGTGTAACAGTGCAGTGCAGACACTCATGTGCAAGGTAAGTCTGTCCCGCGACTCAGAGTAAGATCCTGCTATGCTGCTCCTGCGATTCGACGAAAATGCGTACCAGCTGCTCTCGCAAGGCCACACAGTTGTCGCTGTCTCTGTGCCTTTCAGACCCATTCTCGCCTGTTCTGCGAGGAGGTGACCGTTGACCTGCAAAATAGGCGAAGCACTGTGAATGGTGGCGACTATGTATATTACTTATCAGCTCGCATTGCACAATAAAAAATAGATGAGGATGTAAGGCCTGAACAATTTCTCCCCGGCCTGACTTTTATGAGCAACGTGTGAAATGGGAGGATCAGAGCAGCAAGTGGGACTCCTTGCGGTCTCCTCGCGGTTTTCACGCGATTACGAGCTTACGAAATGAGAAGTTGAGAAAAACGTTGGCAAATATCGCTGTTGGGATATTATGCTCCCTTTCTTGAGCGAAAATTTATTTATTTATTTATTTATTTATAACGTCACATAAGGCAGACGCAAGAAAGCACAACACAGTAAAGTATAACAATTCACTTAACTAAGAATAACTCAAAAGAACTTTTTTAGCGAGGCGTTTGAAGTGCATAAAAGCAGGAGAATGTAGTGCTAATTTTGATTTAAGTGAAATGAAAATTGATCCAGCTCTACAGGTGAAACTGTACAGCTTCATATTGGTTCGAGGCGTTGCGTATGAAATTTTCACAGATCCTCCTCTGGTTCTAGATTCGACCCTAGTGAAGAATTTTGACGCATCAACCCTGGCAAGCCCAGTTAACATCTTGAATACCATGCAAGCATCATATAGTTTTCTACGTGATTTCAAGCTATGTAAATTGAGGCTTTGATTCCTAGAGGTAGGTCGCGGCACTCTAGAGATGTCTACCTGTCCTGACCTAATAAATACTTTTCGTGTATAGTTGTTTTGGATTTTTTCAATTAATTCCTCGTCTTTCTTCTTATGAGGGCAAAAGACTGGCGTACCGCATTCCGCAATTGGCCTAACATATGTTTTGTATGCTCTTGATTAAAATTTCTTTGTCATTAACTGTCAAACCCTTAAATATTTGGTATGTTCGGAAAGTAGCTTTCCTCAGGATGGCATCATAATGATCAGAAAAGCCAAGCTTGTTATCATAATGGAATCCTAGATCCTTGACAGTGGTGACTTCGTTGAGAACATGCTCTCCAAGTCGGTAGTCTTTTGACAGTGAAGAATCCCCCAATCTCATAAATACGGTCTTTTCAGGTGCAAGAGGTAGCCTCCATAACTCCGACCAGTGCGACATAGAGTCCAAAGAACTTTGAATACACCTAACATCATCGATACTTTCTATTTTCTTATACACTTTGATGTCATCTGCAAACTGTTTGCAAATAACACCGCATCTCTCCAAAAGCTCAGGCAGCTCGGCTGTATAGATTGCAAAGAGGAGTGGTGATAAAACACCACCTTGAGGGACCCCACTGCCAACTGCCCTAACCTTTGAAAAGACTCCACCAATCCTAACCTGGAACGTTCTCCCTGACAGGAAATTTCTCAATCCAACGATAAACTGTAGGATGAAACTTGAGTTGAACTAGCTTAAATAGAAGCTTGGAATGGTCAACTTTATCAAAGGCCTTAGAGAAATCAAAATAGACAACATCACAAGATTTTTTATCGTCAAGATAATTACTCCAATCATTAATACATTCCAGGAGATTGGTTTCGACAGACCTACCAGGGACGAACCCATGTTGATTGGCTGGTATAATACCATTTCTTTCCACATGCTCCACAATGTGTTCTTTAAGAATCTTCTCGAAAATACGGCAGAAAAAGGAAGTGATACTGACAGGTCTATAATTATCAACAAGTGGGACGGCACCTTCTTCAGTAACGGCGTAACAAATGAGTGCTTCCACCTTTGAAGGAACCTCACCGAAACATAGCGACTGATTGAATAAATACGCTAAGGGTTCCGCTACAATATGCGCTATTTTCTTGACAAACAGAGGGGGAATAAAATCAGGAGTAAGTGAGAAGGAGTTGGGCAACTCCTTCAAGAGGGCATAAATTTTCCCGCCGTCAACCCACGGAAAGCTAGACATTGGACTAGTGACTGAGGAAACAAAAGTTGGTAAAGAACCATCTTTATTGGAAAACACTTCACAAAACTTGTCTGCCAAGAAGTTGACTTTGTCCTCATCTGAGGCTGCTATCGCCCCATCCTTTTGGAGGGAAGGGATTTTCTGAGTAGTTTTAATTTTCTTGTTCAGAAGTTTGAAAAAACCTTTCTTATCACCGCTGTTAAGGATCTTCCTCTCGACATACCTATTGTATTTTTTTAACATACCATCGAATCTTTGAGAAAAACAACGGAATTTGTCCCAGTCTCTAACTGATTGAGAGGTCTTAGCAGCATAGAACAAACAAGCGCGGTGATCATACATATTTTGAAGATAAGGGGGAAGGTAAGATTTGAACGCTAAAACACGTTTGATAGGAACAAACATGTCTATAGCATGGTGCAAAATATTGAGAAACATTTCATATTTATCGTTTACCGAATTAGTAGATTCGAAAGAGTCTCTCCAAGCGATCGACAAGAGATATGCACTCAGACTAGTGAAATCACAACTCCTGAAATCCCTAAAAAACGTGAACTGTGATTCCACGTAAGTGCTAGTTACATAAAACGACACGCTGTTATGGTCGCTACCACCAATAGGTGGTCCGACCACAACACACACCACTAACAAGATTGGCAACATTGGATAATACCAGATCCAGGGTGCTGTTACCCCTTGTTGGGTCTGAGACATACTGCTTGAAATTTTGCGCCAGAAGAGAGTCAATGAAGGCTACACCAGTATCAACCTGAGCTCCCGTGATACAATTCCAGTCCACTTCCGGGAAGTTAAAATCCCCAACAATTACCGTGGGGTGTTCACACATAGACAAGTCACTAATGACGTTTACTAATTGGTCACTGAACAGCACAGAGCAATTGGGGGCTCTGTACACCACAATGAATCTTATACTTTTGCATTCAATCTGAATATCAGCGGCTAAAATTTCATATGCATCTCGAACCGAATCAGAAAAAATTTCCACAGAATTGAAAGTATTTCGCACCAGCATTAACACCCCTCCTCCTTGCTTTTTATGCCTATCCCGACGTAAAACATAGTAATCATCAACACAAATTAAAGAGCCAAGGGGATGCAAGGAATTAAGCCATGTTTCACAAAACATAATTACATCAACATTGCTTCTCAACACAAGCTCGACTTGCTTGGAATTCTTCGGAAGCGACCTCAAATTTGAAAAGATACATGAAATGCTATCCTTAGAAATCCGAGGAGAATGGTCTAGTTTAAAGGCTCACAACCAGCATGATGATGGGATTGCGAAGAAAGTTTAGGCAAAGATATCTGACTATGAAAATTGTCTAACTGATCAGGAGATTTAGGTGAATTGCTAGAACGAAGTTTATCATGGCGGAACTTAGCACGTTCCTCTCTAGACAAAGATGGTCTTATAAACACGCCTTTAATAGGAAAAAACCTCAAACTGGGCGCTCTTCTTAACATCTGCACCTGGAATTTACTAGACGGCAACAGAACTTTCAATAATCTCGGGAACTTCTTATTGCTCCTTCCCATTCTATAAATTGACAAAGGCGCACATTCAATGCCTAAAAACTGAAGCAACTTGTTCACACAGTAACTATCATGAGACAAACGAGACATCAAATCGGGATCGGGGCTCTCAGCTACACCCGCAATAACTACGGATCGGCGTCGATCAAACTCTACTGGAGAGCAAGGGTTGGGGTGACTAAGTGGCTCAGCTTGAGCCGACGAAGAGACAAACGACAAGTCTTGAGTACTGCTCTCACAAGACTTACTTGATAGGGTAGCTTTGAGAGAACTTATCTCTTTTTTGAGCGCTCCATTCTCGCTCAGCAGATCTTCTTCACGTTTTCTCAAGGAGATCAACTCACTGTCCTTCTTACGTATACTGTCAAGGAGGTAGACCAATATGACTTTCATATATGTTGAAACAGTAGTGTCTCCATTGAGTCTTGCGACAGCATCAGATAACTGTATATCATCGACATCGATGCCAGATAATCTTGTGTCGAGTTCAGATCCAATACGCGGCGACCCCTGAAGAGAGTGATCGGACGAACAAGAGTTCATATTGACTTGAACTATGGACTTTGACCTTATAAGGTGGCAAAGAGAAACAAGAATCGACCCCTGCCACAAGGTGTCTCACGGAAGAGAACGAAGCAGTAGGAACAGATCACCGTAGTAAGAAAAAAAAAGTCCGAAATTGAAAAAATGGACCTTTGCAGGTGGCTTGTTGAACTTGAAACTAGATATATATGCCCCCGCCACAAGGTGCGCGTAGCTACCAAGAAACAGGCGGCGCGCCGCGCACGCCAGAGACACCAGTTGATTGAATGAAAAGCGATCTACGAATTAGTGAGCCCAGAGATCTCCAGAAGTCTCCAAAGAATGAGACTGGCCTACTTCCTCGCCGAGTTTTCCTCTATGGAATGAAGGAGTGGTCCTCATTGTCTTCCAGTGATAGCACGAAGAGTTTCACTACGGTCCAATGGAAATCGAAGCGGAAATCTAGGGAGATTATTAGGACATCACGCTCCAACGCTATAAACTCGTGCTAGGTAGCGCGTTTGGCAAAAGAGCACTGAACTTCAAATGCTTGAGGTATTCCAAGTTATGATATCAGCAGCTTCGACAGTCCAAAAAATGTGCACGAAATGAGTGACCAAAGCGATGCAGTTTGGTTTCAATGAATTTCAGCTACGTCTGCTGCGAGTGTGGTGGCTGCTTTCTACAACATTCCACTTGTCACGTGGGGCCTAAGCACTTCTTCCAGCTTGAGCAATGTCGATCGATTTCCAACGACTGTTGTGATGTCTGTGAACTCTTACAGGTTAATCGTTTCATTTTTTACCCTCTTCCTCCTGACTGCTTTCGAAAAGTGTCTTTGGATCATATTGAAGTGTTTTCAGATCTCATTTTTTCAGTACTGGTCCTCAGTTTGTCTTAATTTGAACCTGACTGAGCAAGACTAAAGATTATTTGATTCAGTGAATTTTTTTGCCAAAGGTGCAACGAAATCCGTTGCAGCGCTTACAAATCGGGAGAAGCATACGTGAGGCAGCGATTTTATTTGAATGCTCAGAATATCTGTAGTAGAAATAAACTGAAATAGAAATATAGCAATACAGCTATAGCGTTGAGTTTGAGTTCTTCAATCAGCAATAGTTAAGAAGTAGTTGATGAATCACATAGTGGTTATGGATAGCATAGGTGTATAGGAGCTATAAGATCTGTGAAATTAGTATGGAGACAATGTCAGACAAAAATATTTCAGCCTTGGAATCGCGATTCGATCTCTGATGTTGTCGTTTGCATGGGACCAGTTCGCTTTCGTCTACTCGCTTATAGGCGACCAAGAGAAGTGTGATGTTATGAAGACAGACGTTCAGGTCACTATCGCATTTATTTTGTGCCATCCCGGAGACCGTGCCGTTTTCCCCCACGACACGGTGCCGTTCCCCGAGGCATCTACGCATGCACAACAACTGATACATTGGACGGTATAGCGCACAAGTCGGGCCCCTTGCCCTGGCGCTCCCTGACCACTAGTTCCACACATGATTAATAACACATATAAACACTCACATTTATTAGAGGTCCTTCCCTGAACAATCCATCGTCCTACTCTTACGTCCTGCCGGCGTCGGATCTGACCATGTCCTCGGAAGGGTCCTTCGCGGTAATCCTACACTGCACTCTGCCTCCTCCCTCAGATGTTATTGAGGGCCCTACAGCCGATCACACCATCGGGCCTAAGCGAGGCGAACCTCGGCTGGGGGCGGGGCCAGTACGTGACGCACGCTTCTGGGGAGGGCCGCGCGCGCCCAACGTAAATGGCCATGAAGCGAGACAGAGCCCAGGCGTGCAGCGCGCGCCTGGACGAGCGCTGCGTACCGACTATTTCGGCTATTTCGAATGGTTCTTCCCTATTCTCCAGCAATTGTCCCTGTTGAAGGTATTGGAGACAGTATCTGTTTCCTAGGATTATCTTCAATCACTCGAAGATTGAATGCTAGATGGAATAGGCATCGAAAATGGAGTTGGGGGAGCACTCCTCTTTACTTGGTCCTTACTTCTAGAGAGCTATTCTACTGCAGACTCTTTGGCACAAGGACCAGATGACACCTTGACAAATCATTTGGAGTTTTTCGGAGTGGTGTGTCTGTCTCACATGCCACTCACCTTGCCTACATTCCATTCACTTTTTTGCGTCTTGTCATCCACCCCGAAGCCCAATCTTTGGGCCGGCAATGGTGCCCATTCCACTGGTTCAAGACCGTTTTCTTGAAAAAAGCAGGCGAAAATGTGGAAGCACCGTAGGATTTGTTTCAAATTACACCGACACCTTTAGTAGTATATTTTCAAAGCGCACATTACCTTTCATGGGTATTTTCTTCTCTTCAGTAATTGAGAGCACAAGTGTGTGCCCCGTCCCGAACTCCATTTTCGCATATCAAAAGTCTTACCATGAACAAGTTTATTTAGCTGAGCTAGTAAGTGATGCTGCGAAGACCTCATCAAACCTTATCCCTCATCTGCGCTCATTTGGGTAGTGTTCTTGAAGAGAGCTTCTAAATCAAGTCGATGGTAGAACGACATGCGCCTGTTTTAGGCTTCCACATGTAGTTCAGCACTCTGAACCAAGGTGAAAATCGTGTCGAGGACGTGGTCAGATCAGTACGACCCCCCCCTCAGATCGGGATCTTGATACGACCCCTCTAACTTTGCCTTGATGTGAATAAGCGAGTTCCATCAATGCACAGCAAAGCGTTCAGTTGCAGCGCGGTTTATCCGTGGGTCAGATTTGCCGAAACCCCGCTCGAAACCGTCGAAATCTACACTCTCGATGAAAAGGTTCCATTCCCCATTTCATAACCTTTGGAGCAGTATGTGGTAGGGTTAGATAGAGCTGGATTTGCTACTACCGGCAATATTGAAATTGATCTAAAAGCTTTACACTCGAAGAGATAGGGTCTCTCAAATTTTGTCGAGGGAGCGTCGAGGATGCTGAATTTTTCATGCGAGTTTTTGCCACTTAAAAGGCAATATCTCTCTAATTTCGTAAGATCTTGAAAAGGAAGACAGTTTTGGAAAGCGGAAGGTTTGCGCTTTCTAACAGTATGTTTAGCTTCCTTCTACATTTTCTAGTTGAGGAGATATTTGCGTCGAGGATCTATCGAGGATGATTCTCGGCCGCTCAAAAAGCCGCTCCCTTCTTCACCATTGCAAGTGTAATTTGTTGGCAACGCTCGAAATGTGTCTAGAATAAATTCTCCAAACGTAAGCGACGAAAAACTGGCAGTACAGGCCATGCATCCGACCTCCACTCAAGTTGTAGAATCTATTGAAAGGTGTTACACATATGATGATGACCTGTTGACAGAAACTGTATTGTAGTAACACATTTCGTAACTCCCGTAACCTAAGGAACAGCTTCATTCGCCCATGGTCTTTCCAGAACTCTTGCCGGTTTGCGACAGTGCTCTAAGGGCAGCCTCATTTTCTACGAGGTATTAACACGTTGACGACAAGCTGACGCGCATGCGCGTCAGAACTTTGCACCGCATCGGACATTCTGACGCGCATGCGCGTCAGAACTATGTCTTCATTTTTATTGTGCTTGCGCTCCTTCTTCTCGAGTTTTTTGTATTCATTCTATAGATAATACATTAGCATAACTATAAACCACATGGCAGCCAGAGTGGTCAAATATCCCTTGATTTAGCAAAGATTTTCTGAACGCACAAAACTTTCATTTCAATTCTTTCCTAGTATTCCTTTCACTGTCGTGAACATTCATATGAAAGATTGAAGAAGAATGAATTGAAAGTAGGAGCAGTTAATATAAAACTGTGAGTTTCAAGATATTTGTATTTGATGGAAAAACTTAGGTATAAATGCTTTTAACTTCATTCGCAGCGAAAGTGATGTTTTTTGCTTCTTCGTGGTCATTATGCTTCTTCTAAACAAACTTCTACTGCTATTTATATAGGTAACCTTTACGCTTTCATCCTTGCCGAAATAATTCCATGAGATTCAAGTTGTTGTGCATTTTAAACAAAAATAAGCGGAAGTAAGGTGAGGACGGCGCGCTCGCAAAATCGCTCCTGTCCCACGCGGTGCAAAATGCCAAAACACGCGATGTCGTCAACGTGTTAAGGCGAGAGAGCGGGCCTAGATAAAGGAGGTGCCTCTACAGCACGTGTACACATTGCGGAGATGCACTTTCATTCCTTGTACTGCTTTCAAATACGTCCTTCTCATAAAGGTAAAGGAATGGAGCGACTGGACCTGCAAAGAATATTTTATCTCATGTTTTCTCACATATCCTTGTTTTCTGCTGCGCTACACCCTCTCTCTCCTATCTGACGTTACTGACCCCAGTGAGTACACCCCCCATGACCAACCCTCCTGTCGAGGATTTCCTCGACCGATATTCACCCTGCTCTAAACTATCAGGTTGGGTGGGCACTTTACACATAGGCAATTTCTTGAATGTCAATGTAATTGACCTGATTGAGGAAATTTTGTTTGAGCCTCGACAGATGCACTTATTCCATGCTCAAACTGAGCAAGATTTTTTTGATAAAAATTTGATCCTATAGGGAATATGGAGTCATAGGGTTAAAAGCGTTCCAACGAGGAGTTTTGCGCGCTACCGTAAAACTTTTTCAGAACGCCATTTCGCAGACGGATGATGTAACAATCTCTACTATCAATCAGATGAGTGATGTGTCATACGAGACAGTAGTTCGAACACTCACAAATGTCAGCACACGAGCGAGAAGTAAGGATCGTTTCCATCAAGTGTAGGAATCCAGGAATCCAATGGAATAGTATAACAATAACTACGACATTGGTTCAAAATAGAACATAGTGGAAAACGATTTGGAACCCGCGCAAGAATAATCGTAGCTGATCATGGGTCGCCAAGTAATCCAAGTAAGTAAGTATGGAAGCCAGCTTTATATAATTAATCAAACGACATTCGCGGAGCATTAATTTCAGGTACCGCAAAACATGGTGGTACAAAGTTATTTCATTGACAGTTGAAGTCCTTATCACTGCAGAATGTATGGAAACAAATTCTTAAAACCTACGAGCACCATTTGCAGTCATGAATAGGAGGTAGTAGTAATGAACTTCTCCAGACCCAATACGTGTTCGGCTGGATGAGCCTTAATCTTAAAGCGAGAGATTACGATAGGATTGTGTTGTGTTCATAGTGGAAGTGGAGATGCTGAATAATGCCCTAGTGGCGAAAAAAGCAAAGAAATCCGTCAAAAACGCGCAAAATGGGACCACTTCCTCTGCCCGTTGACCTCCGATAATGGACGAGTTGGCAACCAACTAAGAGGTCGTCGGCACTCGTTAAACCATAGCTGCCATCATACCACCAGAGATCATACCTTGATTGATAAAGCATTCCATGAGAAAGTTATTGGATACGCGCTCGAAGTGGCATACCTTATCAAAATGATAATCGAACAGCGATCTGCTGAGGGGCGGAGCACAGGCGTGGCGGAGCTCAGAAAGGATTGGCAGCCCCAGGGCGCTGCAACGAGCGCACCTTTAGTCACAAAAAGGCCACATCTCGATTCCTTTGGGCTCTAGCTACTGCTTGAAGTGCTGCTCGTTCTTCCATGCTGCACAGAACTTTATCGTAATCTCTCGCTTTAATCCACACCTGCGTTCTAGTGAAATGTGCTTTGAACACGTCGATAGCCTAGTTTTTTTGCCATGTGTGACGGTGCCATTGTGAAACGGGGCTACCTCACCTCATGGACCAATGTTGAGTAAACGAGAAAATGAGTGGTGCGAAATGATTACAGCAATGATTTATTCGTACAGCATATCCAAGGGTAAATTAATAAGATTAGATCAAGAGGATGTGCAATGGTAATGGAAAACTAAAATTTAATAACTCTGTTGGCGAAGGAAGTCCAGACATTTTTTCCTCGAGTGTTAAACTAGAGGCACATATCTTGCCAATTTTGTATTTACTTCTTTTACTTTATTTATCTGGGTGACGTTGGAAATGAAAAAAAGGAAAGATGAACTATGCATAGTGGAAGTTTCGCACAAAGCGAACTTCTGCTGAATAAAGGCATGTGTGACCATTCTCGTTCCTTTTTTGAAATCTTTCATGTTCAACTATGATTTAAGAATGGACATAAAGGAAGGGAGTGATTCGTGCGTGCACGAAAAGATATTAGGTTATCGCAAAGATCCTGGCCATTCGTCAATTTTTTTCCAAATTTATTTTTCGCACGCTTAACAGTACACACATGTATATCATAGTTATCGGCGGCCAATATAGTCGGACTAGCCATTAATTGAGGGGGGGGGGAATTTGTTGTTCCTTGCAAAGCCACGAAGTATGGCCGTAAGCGCGATGGTTGAGCAGTGGAAGTCCTGACGATCTGAACCGTGGCTCTGGCTCTGGCGAAGCAGCCGGTCGTTTGCCTAATATTGTTTGCCAACATTTTGGAGGTTTCATTATGCACAGAATCCTCACGAGACATGACCATCCGAATACACCTCGGAGCATTTTTGACAACTCGCTGAAGCACCTTTTTTGTAGAAATTCAGCTTCGAGAATCACCTGCTTGACGGAAGATGGAGCGTTTTTGAATCTTTTGCATGCCAAACTCGAAGATGTTAAGTTTCCGTCACTCCATCACTGCTCACTAGGAAGTAACTACCAGTAATTGTAGAAGCGAAGGAACGTAAACGAAGTCTGTAACAGCCGTAATTGTTGTTTGCTCAATGAGGAAGAGATCCGTAACTTTTTTGCTAATCAATATTTTGGTGTTTTCGATTGGTAATTATTTTAAGAAGTGACCAGTTTGCAACGAGATTTACATATAGACAGTTTTCAAAAGTTCCTATCACTGTGCTGCGGCTTCATTTATATAATGTTATAGTACCAGTGAGTCACAAGGAGTAATCGGAATAGTATTTCTGCAAACGTACCCTATACATATTTCAGTCATTGTGGTTTGTCTCAAAGAAGGAAGTGGTTACAAAAGAGACTTCATTCTTGCTGCTAAAGATGGTGGTTTCCTCAACGAGGAGTACGTGTATATCTTCGCAGATACTAAGTCCAGAGGATTCGGTAAGCTGTGAGATTTCCAATGTTATATGTTAACCAGTTTAGCTCCGCACGCTACCGCGCGCATGACACGGTAGGCTTTATTGAAAATGGAGCGTCTGTGGACGATTAGGTCCCACCGCTCAAGAAAGCAACATCATTGATTTGCATCGTGAAATGCCTTAGCTGACCATTGCCATGGCTCTCCAGTTGCTGGAGCTCACAATTTGCGCGCGATAGTGTGATAAGCTAATTGTGTGTAAACACCACCATGCGTTGAATGTCAGGGTAATTTAGCTGTCGGTGATTTTTGATACTAATGACAATCTGTGTAATGCTAATGGCAAAATGACAATATTACCCTACTACATATATATAATTCGCTAAGTATGTCTGTTTGTGTGTGTATGTGTGTGTGTCCGTCTGTCACGAAATTCATAGCGCGCTTCGCTGCAGGCATGGAGCGCTGTATTTTGAGTATGATGTAGGGGGTGGGACGGGAACATATTTGGTGGGGTCAGAAAGTGATAACGACTGATAAGAGTTGATAAGAGGCGCTGAAACGCAAATTTCACGAAATTCATAGCGCGTCCCAGCAGCAGTGGAGTGTTGGTTTCAATAAATGATGTACAGGGTGAGACCGCGCGTGTCAAGCGGGCAGTCCGCTAATTCAATGAAGCAACTTATATCTTACCAGTTTGGCTGCGCACGCATTTGCGTGCATCATGCGGGACAGCAATGGCATATCCGGGACTTCTTAAGACCGAATTATAAATTTGTGGCAAACTCCGCACACTTCAGTGCGTGCCACACCTGCTGTCAACACTTCTTTCCTTCCTTCTCCACTCTTTGCCCGGGCTCCAGGGCCTCTTGTAATCGTGCTATGATGTTTCGTTGCAAACTCCGCCCACTTTTGTGCATGCCCGCCCACCATAGCACTTGAGCTCATTTCCTTCTCCGACCTCGATCCACTTTTTTCCGGTCTCTCAGACTTTGTGGAATCGGGTTATAAGTTTGATATCAAACTCCGCTCACTTTTATGCGAGATGCGCCCCATCGACATCTATCCTCACTGCCTTCTTTGACCTCTACCCACCTTTTTCCAACTCTCTGAAACTCCTGGGAACAGAGTT